GTTTATACATTAACTATGACTATGAATTGTGTGATGCTTTTACGCAACTGCTGGGACAGGGGTTCTCTCCGCTGCAGCCTCACAGACTGTCAGCGGTTTCTCCCTACCGGCTGTAGTGATCTGTGTCAGTGGGGACAGATTGCCGATTACAGCCTGAAAGGAGAGCCCTCAGACAGTCTGAGCTCCCCCCCCCCTGCAGTCTATTCACCTCTCCGCGGCGTCTGCGATCGTCTTCATTCCAGCAGCTGACCGCAATAGCCAGCCTGATAGAAAACTTCAGGTCCCTCCTCTGCTGATTGACATTCAATAAAAATCTATTGAATAAAAAAAAAAAAAAATGTAAAAAAGTGAAATAAATAAAAAAATTAAGTTAAATAAAAAGTAAAAATTTTAAAAATCAAAAAATTAAGTTTAATAAAAAAATCAAAAAAGTAAGAAAAAATACAAAAAAGTAAAAAAAAAATAAAAATTAAATAAACTAAAATTAAAAATCCCCCATAAAATTAAAGGCCCCAGCCCCTGCGAACACATGCATTTTTTTTCTACCACCTAAAACTGGTAGAAATTGCCTCCCCTCGCTGCTCGGGCAGGACACTGGCCGTTCACTGCAGTCTCTTCATACACTCAAGGACTCACGGTACAGGGGACGATCAGCTTCCTTATCTTCTAACTGCAAGTACTGAGTTAGAGCTCTCTGCTGCCACCTGGTGGTTGTTCATTGGCGGTGATTACTGTATTAACAAGGACTATGAACTTGTAATGTATGCATAACCTCTCAGCACTCTGCTAACCATACTACCAATACTGATTTGTGACAGGAACAGACAGTTACTGCGTATACTGAACCTATTACTACTCTACCCGGTCTGCTTGGCAGGTCGTCTGCAATATACTCACCTGAATGAGGAACTACCTATTGCTTCTGATCAAACCACTGATAATATTCTTACCATCATTGCCACCATACCCTGTGTTCCTGATCATACTGTACTATCCTCATAACTAAGGCAGCTAAGAACCGTAGATAGAAGCTAGAAACTAGCGGCTGATACTTACCTTCTGGGAGATTGGTGCAATGATGCTTAGAACCTAGTGGCGAGATTCATTGCTGCACAATACCCTTGGGTTCGGGTGTGTAAGGCGGAACGGGGTTCCGCAGCTGAGCTCCATATCTTCCCTTAGTTAAGGGTGTTATAGTTAGTTTGATATATATTTTTAGAAAGTTAATATCTAAATGTATAACGTGAGAAAGGGTTTTTTCGTGCCCAACTACTCATGACACCAAATGGGTTAACAGTAAACACGTGATGAAAAGGATAAAAACCTCATCAACTGATTACCCATTAGGATCTGACGAAGCCCCAAGAAACGGAGGAGGGGCGAAACGCGTCATCCGCTGCAGGATGCTTGTCTGATACAACACATTATCGACATGACAGTGGTTGATCTCAAACAGCGAGACTAGGAAATTACCTATGTCGACAAAACGGGATAAACGGACTTGAATTAAGTTGAACCTGGGATCTATCAACCCCTCTCAAAAAGCATTTGAGCCATATAGGAACACACTTAAGGACTTTTCACACCATCGGGACACCACAACGAACAAAGTTGGAAAGAAAATATCAAGCATTCATATGTTTCGTGGACTGACAGTCTGACCAAAGGGAGAGAACATCCGTGAGTAAATCTTACTCGAGTTTATTACTATACACAGATTGGAGGTTTCCTCCTCCCAGGAGTGTTTAAAACTCAGCGGTATGTTACCTATTTTCCCGGGTCCACTTTCATACTTTAAAGTGTCCTAGTAAGATTTCTTCAATCAAGTTTTTTCCTAGCGATATCTGTGGGATCCAGTGAAAGAACTAATAAAGATCCAAGTTCTGTTCCCAGGGACTTTATCTATAACTGGACAAAACTTAAAAAGATGTCTGCAGTTAGAGGGAAAATTATTAACGCAATCAAGTAATCCCAGGCACCTGATACGTTGTATCTTGCACTATTCACTTTATTCCCAGCGCTGTTTTCTCAAACATTGAGAACCGCTAGATTACCTAATCAAAGTTGATCTACAAGCTCCAAAAGGTCTTGAATGTTGTTTTACACGAATGGATTATTGCAATAATTTTTAAAGGTGTAGGGTTAGTGGGAATCAACTGTGTAGTCCGTTAATGTGTTATGGTTTGTTGTCTTGCATTTTGAATAAATTTACCCTTTTATATTGCCAATTAACTCTCCGACTCCCCCTTATTCAGCTGCACTATGTTCAAAACCTCACTTGGTTGAACAAACCGTTTTTTTCTAGTCTCCAGTAAGCAGCAGGGGGATTTTCGTTTTGCTTTGCAAGTGAGAGTTAATAAGCTGAGTTAATTAACTCAAAACTAGACAGGGGTGTGGATCTCTAGGTACACTCTCTTTTTTCTTTCTATGCCCTCTAACATGCCTGACAGCCAGCAGCGGTCTACAGTGGGCGAGAGTACCTATGTACCAGACATAGAGCGGAGTAAGGCCAGAAGTATGTAGGGAGCCCAGTGGGAGGAGAGCACCATCCCCCAGCCTGTCACTCCCTTCATGGACTTACATGAAAGGAGTGACACCCGACCATTCACACTACAGTTACATGGATGGCAAAAGTGGCAGGCAGGGGTGGGGAGAAGGCGGGGGAAGAAGCAGAGCGTGAGGGGGGCCAAGTAGCTGCACCATGGGCCTCTGGGTTGTACTTGCCCCCTGGGCTAAAAGTTGCCAGTCAGCCCCTGCTGTATTCCGCACCTACTGGGCGCTGAGAGCTGATTTAATTGCGGATGGCGTTGGCGGTTGCGGTATTCAGGATTGTGGGCGGCGTTGGACTACATGTCGGAACCGCAGGGCGCAGATGCCATCCCCAATTAAATCAGCTCTCGGCGCCCTACTTATAACGTTATGCTTATGTCTATGTGAGAGAGCAACTAGAAGGACAAACGAGGATATTTATTAGTATATATTTATTTTATCACATTTAGTGATAAAAGAGGGGATTAAAAGAATGATTTGATAATACAATACCGGTCCTCTTTAGAAATATATGTTAAAATCAAAAGTCTTAAATAATATTCAGCAGATTTTAATTCTATCCTTTTGTTTATCGGTATTGTACTTTGCACTTCTTTTATGGTATAGTATATTGGAACTGGCCGTTAGTGATAAGAGTTATCTATGACTAATGCTATAGGATTCCAAAGTTCTTCTTTCCCATGTTAGCAACTAGAGTTAGTAATGACTGATGTCATATGATTGAACATGTTTGAATCTGCCATAGTGTAGTTAACTCTGTGTTCCCGAAGCGCTTTGAAGGAGAATCCCCCAGCCGACTAGATAAGAGCCCCTTTCAGTGATGCTTTAAAAGCTTTTACCACTCATTGGTTTAGTGTGAACAGTGATTAACCCCTTCATGACTGGAGACGTACACTGTACATCTCCATCTTGAAGTGCCCAAATGACTGCTCACATACACTCACATACTGTATTCAGGGTCATGAAATGCCAATAACTGCTGAGAATCAGTGGTTACTGTTCATTAATGGATGCCTCAGTATCCATTAATTAAATAGTTAAGCTTTTGTAAAAGCTTCTTTCTCTCATCAATGAAAGAAATAAGCTGTTACAAATACCCCATCGCTATCAGCTTCCGATCGTCTGAGAATGATCAGAAGCCTTTAGTGAGCTCTAATCCTGTCAGAATCAGTCACTAAGGTAATTATTGGCCGAATAATAACCAAAAATGAAAAAAATAAATAAATTATTAAGCAGTTATTGTGATATAATAGACAAAACAAAAAAAAATGTGACATTGTAGGCCACCTAACCATTATTCTTAAGTGGGAGAACTTGCACAATTGGTGGCTGACTAAATACTTTTTTGCCCCACTATATATATATATATACATATGATATTATATATTGTTTTTTAGAAGACTGACAGGGCTATATATTTATATGTGTGGGTGCACTTAGTAAGAAAGTATATTACTGCCGTGGAAAAAAAAAAATCACAGCAAAAATTGAAAAAGTGCTCCAGTCAATAATGAACAGAAACTGGAAAAAAGCTCAGTCATGAAGGGGTTAATTGGCCATGGAATTATTGCTCGCACTCTGATGTACGCGGTGATATACATATATACATGTGCGTCATATTGGGCGGAATCACCATTTTCTCACATAGGTGCACCCAACGCATGTTGGCATGTGTATGTGGGGGCGGGGGACTTTAAATGTTACCTAGGGACTCCCAAAGAAGCTGATGAAGCAGAGGTGTGCTTCACCAGCTTCTCTCCGGCTTCTATAGTCAGGAATTACAGCTGAATGCGGAAGTGATGTAATATATATTACTTCCTGCATTCAGGGAACAGGGAGGAGATCGGCGGGGGAACGTGTCTCCGGTCACAGAGCTGCCGTGACGGTTCCGGGCACAGCAGAGCTCTGGACCGGCAGTGGCTGAGGTGGGGTGCACCGAGCGGCACCACATTACAAGCAACCAGGTGGCTTTTCAGCTGCCGGACCACTTGCATGTAAACACTGACAGGCTGTGCCACCCCTCTACTCCCTGCCGCCCCGAGGTCATGGCCTGGGTGGTCTTGTGGGGAATCCGGCCCTGCACACACATTTTTCAAATGAAGCAATTATTTGGTGTGTCTACCTAAATATAGCTTGAGTTTCACAATTTAAGACTTAGCTCCTCCATGTATACCCCTTGCCCCTGCCCAGTACCTACAAACAATTGTGTGGAGCTTCCCCTACATAGCAGGTACAGGGGTATAGTCACTAGACAGCCGGTTTGTTTTAATTTTACTTAGTGTCCAATCCTCTTGCAGGCAGCAGTGTAACCAGTGTAGTTGAATCTGCAGTGATGTGTCCTTCAGTGAATAATGGAGGAATTTAATTTTCACACCTAAACTTGATTGGGTAGTAGACATGAGCACAGTCACACTGATTTTTTTAAATAAATATGGCCCTTAGTCTCCTACCTCCCCAAATCTTCAGGTTTCAACTGAAAAGGACTAAAACGATATATGCTGTCAGTCAAGTTGACAAAATGGCGACTGTCAGTATTTCCAATACAGAGACCTAAAAAAAATGACAAAACTTTGGGTTAGTTCACGGATCTAAAACATTCAAAAGTGTTTTCCTCCATGGCTCAAGAACTCAAGAAAAAAAATGTAACACATTTCAGCTTAGCAATTCTTAAATATGGTGGTTAACCCCTTAAGGACAAAGGCCTTTTTTTCATTTTTTGTTTACATGTTATAATCCACATTTTAGGCCTGAAAATTACTTAAAACACCCAAACAGTATATATTTTCTGAAAGCCAAGACACTATAGAATAAAAGGGTGGCAGTTGCACAAGCAATCAGGCAACTTTACAGATGCCGGATGTAAACGGCCATCGCTGTCTGTTTAAATTTCTGGCGGTTTCCTACTCGAGCGTGGGCACGAAGGACTTCTAAAAATGCGAACCCGCATCCAGAAGACTCCTGTCCGACCATAGCTCCTTCACAAATGAGGTTGAAGTGTTTACTCTTTAGATTTAAGTCATGATAGCAATAGAATGATTCCTGTGGTACTTTCTAAATCAGTCAGTTAATCACCACCTTGATGTGTCACGACTCGCTCTGCCTATTTGTTTACATTCGGGTCAGAGCTGTCCTTTTGTTGAGTTGCATAAGCTGAGTTCAGCAGCATAAGAAGGGATAGGCATGATTTTTTTTATTCAAGTGAATTGGCAGCCATCATTCATTGTGATTGACGAGGATCTACATCGCTGGACCATGTGATTGACCTTTGGATTACATCGATGGACACTTTTTTTTTGTTGTCAAAAACTGCCTTGTGTTTTTTCTTCACATAAAGGACACAAAGTGTTGTGCATTTATTTGCTATTTTCTTTACTATTTGGTGAATGGGGTAAGTGGGGTAACAAATACCTCTTACTCATTCACAAGGGGGGCGGCATCTCACCGACATGGGGACAAGGTGCTTTCCCAGGGGGTCCCCACCCTGGAAGAGCACCCTCCCAATGCCTGGTATGGTACAGGGGTGCGCATGCTCATACCCCCCTTTCCTGCTCTGCTAGGCCGCTGCTCAGATTAAGGATTTGGTATGGGATTTTAGGGGAGACCCTGTGGTTTTTTTCAGTTTTTTTAAGGTTCTCCCTTAAAATCCCTATCAGTCCCAAAGGGACTGACGAGGGGAGTACAGGGGCGGACCGACCATAGGGCCCGCGGCCAAAGAGGGGGCCCGTCACCGACCCCCGTGCCCTTTTCAGCCCGCATGGAAGAGGACGCGGGTTTATTAAAGCGGCGTGGCCGAGAAGAGCTCCGAGGTGGGGGCGTGCCGCAGTGGACGGGGGCGTGTCGCAGTGGCCGGAGGGCGGACGGAGGCGAAGAGAGCCTCATGCTAGGGGGGCCCCACTGAGATCCGGCCCTGCCCCCCCCCCACTGGAGCAGTTCTTCAAAAACCCCGACTGGAACCTGGGGATCGGGAGCCCCGATGCTGGTAAGTGAATATAACAACTTTTTTTTTTAGCTGTAAACTGTTAACCCTTTAGTCTCCATTCACATAGAGCATTTGCGCTTCCCGTTCGGTTTTTCATGTGGGAGCCCGCACGGGACGCAAACGCTATATGTGAAATGCATGGATTCCGCTAGTTTGCGGCCATTATATAGTCGCGAACGTGCGGAATCCGCTGGATTATCGCGCTTGAAGTATTTTGGGGGCCGCGCGGGTTAAAGCTCCGTTCACACTGGAGCGGCTGTCCCCCAAAATAGTGCAAGCGAGATAATCCAGCGAATTCTGCACGTTCGCGGCTATATAATAGCTGCAAACGAGCGGAATCCATGCATTTGTTTCACATATAGCGTTTGCGTCCCGTGTGCAAACGCTATGGGGGTTATTCACCGAGTGAATAACGGAGCCAAAGTGAAGTGAGCTGAACGCTGTTCGGCTATTCACTTCAGCCTTGTACGGTTGATTTCAGCCGTACATGGGCTAAAATCAGCCGTACATCGGCTGCCTTCAGTCAGCCGAACATGCTCTGTATGTTCGGCTGAGCCGAAGTGCAGGGAGAGTTTCGACTCAGCCGATCCAACATCTGGATCGGCTGAGCTTGAAGCTCCAGCAGCTCATTCTCATAGGGGCCGAACGGCAGTAAGTAAATAGCAAAATGCAACAAAAATGTAGAAACATTGTTAAAAATGAAAAAAAAGAAAAATATTGTAAAGAAAAAAAAACGACACACATCCTGTTTCCTATTGGCCGGCACCTGCCAGAGTCTTCTAGTAGGTTCCGGCCAATAAATAACAACTGTGTGGAGTCGGCTGTGATGTCACGGCCGGCTCAGCCCAGTTGTTATTGTTTCATGACAGATCAGCATCCCCTGGTCATTTGGGGACGCTGATCTGTTATTACAACTGGGTGGAGCCAGCCGTAAGATTCGGCTGTTTGTTCGGCTTTGCAGAGCCGCAGCATGTTTGTTTGGCTCGGCTGCATTCAATTTTTTACTTCGGCTGAAGCTGAAGGCTGCTGCACGCGGTGGCTGAACTGAATGGTTTCTGCAGCTGAAGCGAGCCAAAGCATTAGCTGAAAGTTCGGCTAAATCCTTTGCCTGCTTAGTGAATAACCCTCAAAATGAGTCTACACCAACCAGCCATAGCATTATGACCACCCACCTAGGTCCCCCTTTTGCCACCAAAACAAATGTGTATGTATGCATGCATTATGCATGCTTATGGAATGATGACCATTAGATAGTATCACATACTGTGTTTTATATATTGACACTTTGTATTTTTATATAATGTATATTTTATATATTGTCTGTGGGGATTTTAATGAGTGTGTGTGTTGCGGAGGAACATGCAGTAATGGCAATTCATAGATACACATATGATTTAATTTGAACTGAGGTTGATATATGCACATTTGGGAGGATTTTTGCATGGTTTCTTGCATGTGTTCCTTATGCATATGGGAGTATGTGTGCATGTGTAGCGCATGCATATGCATTGCACATGCAGATGGAACAATAGCCATACATATATGTATATACAAGATAGTAGCATATACTGAGGTCTACATCTTGCATAATGTTCCACATGTACGTGAGCATGCGTTACACATGCATTTGGAAGAATCCCCTTCTATATGTGTATATGAGAGATCTTTGCATATATTGAGCTCTGTTTATGCACATTTTGCAATATATATACTGTATATATTATACCTTTATACGTTGTTGCAAAACAATACCGGCGCCTTCAAATCCAAAAAGAGCCCAGCAGTAAAAATACAGCAAACACGATGGAGGCAGCTCCCACAGATTAGATGGACCACCAGTCTATGAGAAAAGGAACAAAAGAGAGCACCTCCATAGTGTAAAAACGTTATTTAATAGTAAAAACACACAGCTCTAAGGCTGTACTTACAACAGTTCGGTAGAATAAAAACCAGTAGAATAAGGTGAAAGGACGGAACCCCTGGCAGGGAGAATCTGGAGCGATGTAAAACACCAGTAACCTTGATCCCTGTATTGATAAATGGTTTACGCGTTTCTGGGACATACCCCCTTCATCAGAACCAATGCCTTAAATCTTTGACGGAGAGGGTCACATGGGATTTTTAGTCCAATCATCTAGTCGGTGTTGGAGGCTCATCTAGAGAAGGCAGCTGCAAGTGATCTCTAATTACTATTCAGCTTGAGCTAATCCACAATATAATGTCATGGAATGGACATAATGTGGATGCGATAACCGCCTAATTGATATAGATCAGCTCAGAAACAAGAGTGTGTTTCAGACTGACAGTAAATATAGGAATTGAAACTAATAAAAGTGAGTACTACCATCCACTAGTGCATATGTGATCTAGATATGACTTATAAAAATAATGAACATAATATTCAACATCAATAACCACAATATATGGATGTCAAAGTAAAACACCTAAATTCTATAAAAACCACTACTAAGAGTGGCACCGCTGTCGAGCACATATGGATAAACACACGCATTCACATCCCCAAGTGGACATTTCTAAAAGAATGTAGAATGTGTGTGTGTGTATATTCCCAACTCTTTTTTTTTTTCCGTTTAATTAGAGATCACTTGCCTTCTCTAGATGAGCCTCCAACACCGACTGGATGATTGGACTAAAAATCCCATGTGACCCTCTCCGTCAAAGATTTAAGGCAGGATACAGGGTGTGTTCTTTCATTGGTTCTGATGAAGGGGGTGTGCCCCAGAAACGCGTAAACCATTTATCAATACAGGGATCGAGGTTACTGGTGTTTTACATCGCTCCAAATTCTCCCTGCCAGGGGTTCCGTCCTCTCACCTTATTCTACTGGTTTTTATTCTACCGAACTGTTGTAAGTACAGCCTTAGAGCTGCATGTTTTTACTATTAAATAACGTTTTTACACTATGGAGACGCTCTCTTTTGTTCCTTTATAAGTTGTGTTTATATTGTGTGATTTTTATAGCCTTGGTCTATATTGTATAAGATATGTGTAGTGGTTGGAGCAGGCTTAATGTGTCGAAGGACATGTGCAATGGGTGGCATAGGATTATTATGTTCAATGGGAGGGTCCAAGGAAAGTATATCTTTAGCGGAGGATGGATAGTGCTCACACCGTTCCTGACGACCTCCCTATTGACGAAATGTGTTTGGGCCTGCACTGTCACACATTAGATAAATGGCGGATGCGCTGTTTGGAGAGGCTTAGAGAGGTTTTTCTATGTGTTACCTCAATACGGGTGCATATAAATCTCTTTGTGAGTATATGGGTTGTTTTTATTTGCTCATTTATTAAAGGGCATTCTACACTAGGAGATATTTCCTGCACTTCTTTCCTCATTTGATGGGTGTGGAGTAATATGTAACAAGAATTGATATCGACGGGGAGTTCTGGAGAGTTCTGTCATTGCCTGGGGCCCTGAATCAGTGCATAAGACATTCTTATTATAAGAGGTCACGTATCGTTTGGTGAGTGTCTGCCTATAAGGGTTAGGAGTTTTTGCCATGGAGGTTTTGATCTTGGTGGAAGTTCACAAGCATACTTACAATTTAGA